AAACCCAATCAACTTGTAATTTTTTTTGTCATCAATTTATAAATTGTAATGTAAAGAAGAAAAACAAGACACCGACCTGTAACAAGTCTCCTACATTGACGCAGAAAGCTGAAGGGTCAGAAAAGACAGGGACCCACAAGCCATCTGAGTTCGACACTTGTAATCCTCCTACACCGTTAGATCTTAGAACTGTTAAGATCTGAGGGTCGGTGTGTTCTCCAAAGCCAACTCTCATCAGTGACTCAGATTTATCAGACACTCTAGTAGTCCCACCTAAAAACTCATCGGACGGTGTATAATGATTCACTCTCACAAGAGAATCACTATCAACGGTGGATATTAATTTACTGAATGTGTAAGGTGGGACCCGAAGTTCTTCAGCCATCAGATCTAAGATCTCACGAGCCAACTGCTTAACTGCTTCTATGTAACAATTCACTGCCGAGCTGTCAAAACATATACATCACACATCACCAAAAAAATAATTTATTGTTTAATTATATAAATATAAGAAAAATGAACACGAAACCTTAAATATTTCTACTTTCAGAAAGAAGTAGTGTGTTTTTTTACATCACAGAAAAGAACGATCCATTATTGAGTTAAGTACGAATAAATTGTTGCAGACGTAAGTACTAAAAGATTTACAAAACGTAAAAATTCTTGTATGTTTTCTTTAATAGTTTTTTTTTTTAATATGTTTTCTTTAATAGTTGCATTGTACATTTTAATACCTCGTGTCATGTAGATTAGTAGATACACAATTATTATCCATACACTGTTATTGAGACAGACTGAAACTCTGTTACTCTAGCTGGTTTTTGGTAATGATAAAAACACATCTCTGTTATTCCAGTATTATTTTAAAATAAATGAAAAAACAAACCTACAACTAATTTTTTTTATAAAGAACCTATAACTAGTTGAATAATAAAAAAAAGGTGAAATGTTTGGTAATAGTTAATAATATCAAACCATCAATAATGCTAGTATGAAGTAACTGTCAACTTTTGCATAAATGTATACCTATAATAAATTAACAATTAAATTATATGCATACACTTTTTAAGTGTTTATACACATACAACATGCATTTTAAAACAATTAACATAAACATGCATTTTGCCTACATTAATACCATAAACAAACGTGCATTTATCACATCAACATTTTCAAAGTTTCTTCGTAGATATAAATAGATACTTATATATGCACATATATTAACTCTTGAACGCACCCAGGCAAATATATATACATGCAGTTATCTATACTTTTACATAAAAATCAACTATATATCTTAATTTCATTAAAAACAGTAATAGACATAGTCGTAAATATGGTTATAATATACGTGAAACTAAAAGTCGAACCGTATACTTTATAAATACAATTATAATATACGTACCTGAAGGAGAACTGAGAGAGAAAAGCAGAATCGTTAGTGTGAAACAGCAAGTACTCGATCTCACCAGAGTCACCACTGAGACCAATGTCTCTAAACCCATACCCGAAATTAGGCTGGTTAGCCGATTTAACCGAATTCTTCTCGTGAACCGGTTTAGCAAAGAAGTTAATGGATTCTTGCTCCATCCTTGAGATGATGGTTTGATCAACTCCATGGTTAACCACTTTGAAGAAGCCGAGAGTCTCACAGGCTTTGACTATCTGCTTCGACACTTGTGTTCTCTCTTGCGACATGTCTATTATTGGTATGTCTTGATCTACGGACACGATTTTCTGGGACCCTTTCACCATTTTT